TACCTCACTAAATATCATAATGCCAATGTAGGTTATATTCAACACAAAATTACCTCACCTAAACATTACATAAGAAATCTAGGCGGCATTCTCACTTTTTATCATCATAATTGCCCAAGTAAATAAACATGAATCATAGTAATCCATACCAGAGAGGGGTTGACTCATAGTTATTATCCCATGTATACTATATTAAATTTCTTGCAATTCAATTCAAGTGCAACAGTCATAAGAAACAATAATGTGATAACTAGTAATAATATCAATTAGAAACAAGTTAATTGCACGTGTCTTAGATTTTTTGTATCACATTGAAATATCACCAATTGCAACATGTAGATTTTTAAATAACAAAATATAAGTTTATGGTTAGCAATAGGAATTAGCAAAAGGAAATGCAACATATATGCAAATCAGGTGACGTAGTAAAATTGTAGCGGTGTGCACACAAAATAATGTCACAAAAAAATTCACAAATCTTTCCAACTTATGATAAATCCCACTCTTGTTTTGCAGTAAGACTTGTAATATACCTCTCTGCACTTCCTATATTTTGATAAAAAATCTTCTTGCCTCTCACTCACTATCATACAAATGATGTAAACCCTTGTTGTGAAATTCGTCACTATGAGTCTTCAAAGCTGCAACCAATTGTGCAGTCCAATGTATTATGTGTTGGTTTCTAATTAACTCCAACATTGACTCAACAAAGATTCATTAGATTTTCTTGGTTTTTTTCTTGAGGAAGGCTTTGGGTTAGATTTATTCTGGGATGTTTTAGAAGTGAGGTTTGTGGAAGTGTTAGCATCAGATTGAGGCTCAATTTCACTTGCAAATGGATTGTCACAATTATTACAATCATCACTATTAGTATTAATCTTCTCATAAACTAGCCTTATAAAATCACCCCTAGCTTGATGATCACTCATGATCTTTTGTAAAATCTTGTAACAAGGAAGATGCTTGTTTATATATCCTTTTAGCCTAGAGTTACATTTTTCCTGTAGTATACAAATTGAAATGTTCATTTCACTAAATAATGTATGAAATTAAGAATAACATTTTTGTGTTCAATTAAAATAATTTTTGTTGAGCTAGAAATATTATCTAAGCCTGTGTTTTAAGTGTCTCATCATCCAGGGTTACCATAATGTTTTTCTCATCCTACCCATTATCAGTTATGTTGGTACAAGCATTCATATCAAAGTATTTGGCTCTCTAGGTTTTCATGTGACTAATCAGATGAGAGTGGCTATAGTTTATTTTGAATTGCATATTGATCTTCATAGCTACCAATTTATAAGCTTCAGTTTTAAAGTTCATATAAACGTTCATTCCATCATTCACAAGTTTTGCAAGATACAATATTAGGATCACACCATTCTCGAGGAGCCACCACATGTTGCAAACCCCCGTTGAATTCACATTATTAGTTCTCATTGATATAGGCAATTTTCTCTTGTGAGCCAGTTTCTTCATTTTCTTGGAAGATGATACCTCATAACTCACATCAATGACATGACTCTGAGGTCTACCAGATTCACTAGTGATTGGTGACATTTATTGTGGACCACTACTTTGAGAATTATATGATGGAATATACAAGCCTTGGGGATTGTTTAGCACGCTAGTGCATGACACATGTTGCTAGCTCATTCCACTATAGTTTCCTTCAAAGGATAGGAATTGCGAGAAAGAGTTCTGCATTGTATGTGGCGGAATGAAAGGTTGAGATGGATATGGCATGAAGTTCACATTAATATTGCCTGAATCATTTGGTGGTACCTGTGGAGAAGAGGGCAAGTTTTAATTTCATGCATCATTGTTAGACATAGCTATATGCAATAATAAAAATAATTATATGATATATAGTACAATCTTATAAAGTTAATATAGAATTACATAGTTGCAAGTAAGAGATGAAAATTGCATAGTACATACAAGCACAATTATGACATAGTACATTACATAATTAAATATGCGAAAATAAGAATCCTAAATGCCAATCTCTGTGGTATATACCACTTTTATACTTTGCATAATAATCAACCCACATTGTCCAAATAATTTGGTCCCAAAGTCCTTCCATTTATTTCTTGCATCACGATCCTCTTTTTGTGTCTTACTTTGAGTGTAGTCAACTACATTTGTATCATCCTTATTTACGACCTCCTCATTCTCTTCATCCTTCTCATTCTCTTCATCAATTTACAACATTCTTATTCAAAATGTCATCTTGTGGATCTTCAGTTGCAATAGAATTATGCAACACAATACACGCTAAGACGATGTCCACTTGTGTGGGGAATAAGTAATTAGATTTCTCCGATAGAATTTTGAACCGATTCTTCAATGTGCCAAAGGTGGATTCAATTTTAGACTATAAAGAGTAGTGTTTTAAATTGAATAACTTCCTACTATTTTTGAGTGCCCTACCAATTTATTTCTTTAAATGATAACGTACACCATGGTAGGGGTAGATAAAACCGGGCATAGTAGTGTATCAAAAGTCACAAAAATAATATTTTCCTACATTATAAAACAAAATTTCGTGATCAATTTGATCACATTATTTAATTTAATAATTTTAAAATGAGGTGGAAAAATACTATCATATACTCTCAATCCGTAAGGTTGTGGTCTGATAACGCATCTTGCAAAATCCTATAGTCATTTGCCGAGCCCTCCTACCCAGCTAGTACATATGTGACAAGTTTATTTTTGGAGCACAAGCAATTAAAACATTTTGTGTTACACGTTTATGCCCTCTAAAGCATGCAACTAGGTTAAAGGGTAAGATTGCATCAATATGTGTTCTATTTATCATACCAATGCAAGCCTATCAAAATAGTACATTATGGAAAATATTAATTACTCATACTATTAAATTAACATAATCATTAACTTAAACAATTTATCTATCTTTTACCTTAAAATAAGGGAAATAGTTTTGATTGTTAGCAATCTCCGGTGAAACTTCATTAGGTGCTTGCTTCATGTATCGATTGCGGAGACCATTCATAACTTGGAGGATTTTATTAAAGTACCTACTAACAATTTTACCCGATCTTATGAAATCGGTCCGTATTACTCTATTTTTAGTTTTATGACCCACTATGCTAAAAAACATAGTGAGTTGTTCTTCAACTTGAAGGTGCCTTGTGTCCGTTAATAAACCATTATCTCACATTATATCTGCAAGTTTGAAAAAAAGCTTTTGGCCTCATTCTAATATAAGACCTTTAACTATCACTGTAACCTTCAAAGACACGCTTGAAATGAGCATTTTTACAAAATATTTTCCTCCTATTATCCTCTCTTGTATGATTATAAATTGATTTGTACCTAGCATGCATTCTCAATAAACAACTTATTATTGTAACCACAGAAGGAAAATAGTCATATTAGCACATATCCACTTTATTTATTCTTCATCTACACCATCTATCTACAATCATTGCAATTCAAAAATATTTTAAGAACATTATACAACAAAACAATTTGGTTTATAAGTCTTAATTAAAAAAAGTTAGAAAAAGCTATAAAAATCTAATATAAATAAGCAAGTAAATAATCACTCTACCCGCACAACTATGTGACTCCATATATCAGGCTATCAAAAGGGTGGTCTCCATACAGAGACATATTATAGTATAAAAAATAATTCTTAGTCTTCACAAATCAATTATTAACTATAGTTCAGTTGAGCAGCAACAACAACAACAACACACCAAACCCACCCCACTAACTAAATTTTAGATTGTATTACGAAACTGAAAAATCACCTCCATAGGATTTCTTATGTTCAAGGTTAGCACCATAAAGCAAATAAAAGTTGAAGAAAAACTCAAATTGCACATTCAAATCATCACCATCATATCAACATATAAATATCCAATATCAAAAATCAAGATAAAAGATAGTTTCGAGTTATACCTCACAGAGTGAATTCGCTAGCCCGAAGAAGTAGATCAAAAACCCAATAGATCCGAGCAAGATCAACAATTGAAAACTCCAAAGTACCACATCAACAACCGAAAGCCCCCAAGTAGAGCAGATTCGAACAAATAGAGGAGCTCCGAATAAGATCAACACAAGAAAACCCAACAAAGCTCCATCACTATAACCGAATCCATCACCAAAACTATGAACGAGTTGCGTTAATGAGGATTAAGAAGCCATCAAAGTGAAATGAGGGTGGGAGCAACAGCGGGGCAGAAATTGTTTGGGGGGAAAGAGAATTGGGGGTGGGAGCGACAGCATGATGTGAAATTTTTTAGAGAGTAAGAGAATTGAGGGTGGGAGTGAGAACGAGAGGGTTGAGAAAACCCTATAACAAAATTTTCCCTAAAAAATAATCATGGGAAATTGAGATGCGGATGGAAAATAGGGTACGTGTTAGTTATGCTATTTTTAATAGGAATTGTAAGATTTCTCACAAATTGCCTCCAATTTTGAGAGGAAGTTGATTTATATAAAATGATGTATTTTTTCCTACTTTATAGAAAATATTTCTATAATTTTTTTTGAACCAAATACGTTTATAAAAATCTACATGAAAATTTTAATTATAAAATTGCTATTGTCAAATATTTTCTCAAAAATTTTCTATAAAATGAGTGAACCAAACACCCCATGCTCTAATTTTCTATAAAATGAGTGAACCAAACACCCCATGCTCTCTATCTTTCAGACATAAGATTAATTCTGGTGCTGCCATCATTATTTATTCCACTTTAATCTCAAGTATTCTCCCTTTTTCAGTATTATTATATGCACTTCGACATCATAACCCTATAATGCCTCCTTATCTATTCGTAGGCATCAGAGGCCTCTGCCAATGACCGAAGCACCCACCGACAGAACGCCAGCGTGAGCGTACAGCCAAAGCCACCATTCCATCGGCGTCCTCCATAAGTTAATAATAATTCCTCCAAATACAAAAACCTCTCTCTCTCTCTCTCCCCGCCCCCCTCCCGTTTTTATCTCTGTCGAATCAGCGACGGGGAACTCCGCGTCGAGACGAAGGTCAGCATCGATGTTGCTCCGCTGACCCGCCGCCGCCTCCTCGGCTCTCCCGCGCCCAGATCAAGTCCTGCTCCGAAGCCCTAGCGGTCTTCAAGCAGAAGCTCCGCTCGCGGGCAACGATCGTGCAGGAGTTCGATCGCCTTCAGGTTCCTTCTCTTTTGCTTTGTATGGTGATTTCCAGGGCTTGAAATTGGTAAAGTTTCAATATTAAAGATTAGAACTTAAACGACAAAATTCCGTCTTTTAGGCATTTTCACGAACAACTTTTGTGCTAAATCCATGAGGGGACAACGTTTATGCCAACCTTTGATTTTTTTTTTTTTGATCAATTTGATTAGTAGCTTTTATGCTAAATTTATGGTTGAAAGATTGGAAGCGCGTGGACAAATGTTTGGCTGTTTTGTCGGCTAAATTGCTTAGAGCATACTGGATTTGCCGTTCTAGCACTATTTTCATTACGTCGTGCAAAGTTTAGAGTTTATCATTGATGGAAGAGATATGTTTTGAGAGTTTCCGAAGCTTTCATAGAATATTCTGCAAGTGTTCGGCAATCAGTAAAGTGAAATGCTTATAAAGCGACATCCGGTTACAGCGGACAGAAGCTCTCATCCATTTTAATGTGAGAGAAGGGTTGGACTCGATTGGGGATTACTATGATGCTTAGATTGATGAGTACTGGCTTTCCCCATTGTCCCTTTCCAATTGGGAATTTATGGAGACTTGCTTATATCTTGTAACTTATCTACATGTCGATCAAGAAATTTATACTTTATGCTTTCCATAGATCCTACCTGGGCTAGATAGCTAGAGCAACACAAAACACACTTTTGTAAATGTTGAGATAGTATTACTCACATGGACTGAAGGAATAATGGGTGTCACGGATAATAGATAAGCTGGACATTTTCTTCATCCAGGAATATAGAGGACCATCATTTACTCTTACAGTACACACAATCTTAAGGTCCTATAAGTTAATGAAATAGAGGTTTGATTTTCAGCTTTTACACATTTGCACAAGCACAAAACTTGGTTAATTTTATAAATCCTTAATGATATAAATTAGTAGGATATTTAATAGGAGCATGGACAAGCCGTTAGTAAGTGTGGCTCTAAATTGACAATTAAAACAGAGGCATAATTTATATATCCGCACCTTTTTCAAGTGGGTAGGTGGGTAGGTGGGGGCATGTGCCTGATGAGTTGTCCTGGTATTGAACTCCCTGCATGACGAATATTCTGTCACTGTTCAGAAATTGGTAAATAAACGCCAAGAAGATTAGATCCGACTAGCACGAGTTAGTAGCATACATCCATTCAGAGCAAAAGCCAGTTGGCGTGCAACTGTGAGTGGTATGATGTTGAGCTTGATTGATAACATTTTCCCCCATTGATTTCCAACCGTGAAGCTATTGAAGGCTTGAAGCTTGCTTCTTTCTCATGCTAAATCAAAGAATTTAGGAATGTGTATTTACAATGGACTGTATGTTTTATTTATCTATAAGTCTGAGAAAATCGATCAGTATATTTAGGCTATGGATTCTACTTGGCTCATAAAGCTAAAACCAGCATGGACATCATCCTCCAAAATGGTGAAATCAACACCATTAACGTGGGCCCGGAGAACAGTGACTTCAATATTGTGGAAATAATAAGTAAGATGAGCATTTTTAGCCCTAGGATAGAGGACAGTCACAGTATCACTAATTCAAATAGGGGAAGACTTTGTATCTTGCAAATCCATGATACCAAAACTCGCTCCCTACGTTTATAAAGTTAACACGAAATCCTTTCCAAAAAGCAAAGGACTAGGACATGCAACAAAAATGGAACATGGAGAATGTTGTTAGTAAGCAAAATATATATTCCCTCTGATAACTTAAAAAGAAATTTGCAATTGCTATTGTTGATTGAAACATTTTAGAGAAGTTTTCCAAACTTAGGATAAAGTTGGACTTAGGCGAGAGGTATAAGTAACTAAAATTGGAGTTTGCGCCCTTTACATTTGAGAGGTGCTACATGAATGCTCTCTCCTCCCTGTTTTCGCTCCTGTCTCCTTCCCCAATGTCTGTGGCGATAGGCTAGTAGACTAGCATCAAAGGAGAGAAAGGTAGTACTCTGAGAAAGCCTTCACACTGAAGGAAAGAGCTATCCATAAAGGAGGCAAGGGGGCACCTAAAAGGGGATGACTTGTGCATTGTAGACCTTCATGCATCAGAAACATAGCTACTGTGTAATGCGTTTGAAAAAACTTTCCTTGCCACTCTTTTTGTCAAAGCATTTCCTCTATTATTACACATGAGAAGATTTTTAACTGGTGATTGACATTTGAAGTTACCATCTTTAGTGGGAGCTCAAAGACGAGGGAGCTTGAAGCTTAGCTCAAGCTTGGCTAAGTTAATGTCCAACCTTGTTTAGTAGGCTAAATGAATCAACTCTGAAGAAATTTCGAGCTTGCTAGAAAAAATAAACAAGCTTGGATAAGAAGGTTTGGAATGGTTGAGCTCAAATTTTTAACCGGTTGTATAGGCTCAACTTTCCTCTAATTTGAGTTTAACTTACATTTCACCTAGTTTTGATCACACTTGACTCTCTGATTCAAATTTTAGTTGATTTTCCAATTGATTTATAGTCTAATGTTTCACTTTGCACATAAATCTAATAGAATATTGCCCCTTCCAATACTAACAAAAATGTTACAAGTCTAGCATTTCAATCATGAATTCTTTAGTATGTTTGACAGAGAAATTAGCAATACAGATGCTGCATCAATAAAACAACAAATTACTACAATTAAGGCTAAACTGATTTCTTATTGTGATGCAAGACTAATAATATAGTTTGAGCATGTATAAGGTTGGTTTCAGGAGATCTCTGGTTTAAGACTGAATAAGCATATACTAAAGTTTATATTTAATGCTATCCCATGTCCTAAGATTTTCATTGCTCAATTCATGAAAGCTATATTAGTTATATTATTTCTGCATTCAAAAAAGCTATTAGTTCTCTAGAATTGAAAATGGGCTTTGATAAGGTGACACCCTGCGAAAACTTAAGCTTGTTGGATAATTGAACGAACACGTTGAACAGTAACAACAACCAAAAGCTAAGCTCACACGGCTGAACTAGCAGTCCTAGTTGAAGTGAGGGAGTTGTATTACTTGTAGTGTATTAGATATCGGTCGATATATTGCTATATTAGCTGATATATCGGTATTGATGCCCTTCTGATACATATTTATGAAAAGCTATTGTTTTTCGAATTTTAACATTTTTTCGATATATCGAAAATATCGACTGATATTTCATTGGGAAAATATTAGCTGATATTTCATTAGGAAAATATTGGCCGATATTGGCTAATATCCAAATGAAAAGGGTTATTGAGTTTGAGTTTGGTTTTGGTTCCTACCAGATCAGAAAACTTAATAAATTCTCTCACCCAAATACCCTAAATCTCTAATCAATCTCACATTTTTTCCTCTCTTCATTCGGCATCCTAGCTCAAAAACGATAGGTGATCTCAGGTATGAATCTCTCTCCTCTCTTTCCACTCTCTTTCCTCTCTTTTTCATTTCTCCTCTCAGCTCTCTTAGCTCCTCCTCAGACCCCTCTGTCTCTCTTCCTCTCTCCACTCTCTCTCTCACTCTCACAACTTCTCTCTCCCTTCTCTCTCTGTCTCCTCTCTCTCCCTTGTTCATGTCTTTTCTCTCTCTCTCTCAGACCTCTACCTCTATCTAATGTATCTAAACATCATATATCACTATTCATGATACAATTTCTTATATTTAGAATACATTAAATATGTTTTGATTGCATATTACAATGTTATGTTACATATGAATATCATCCAATATGACACCTCGATGATTTTTACATATCCCCGATTGCCGCAATCCGATATGGATTTTGGCCATACGACATTTCCGATATTTTCGATATTTAATACATTGATTGCTTGGTCTCAGCTCATTTGGTAATGTTTTCTTCTTTATTTTGTTTGTTGATCTTATCTATATTTGTTCATTTTCAATTGGGTGCACAAACTGATGAGTAAATGGAAAATAGTAATCTTTATTATAGTTCCAATATAATCTTGAGTGATCATATACTTAGCCTAAGCCATACTTGTGTACTGTCATTTGACTAAATTTTTTTTAAATGTTTCTCAAATGTCCTGATAAACATTTGTGTTGACTTGATGTCCTTTATTGTGCGTAAATGACTTGTCAGTGCCAACAATGTGGAGCAAGTAGTGAACTAGGTCGTGTGATAACGAATGGTAGGGAACCCAAGGATTTGGGAACATGAAAAAGGATGTTAGCATTATGTATGTTTTTAGGGTGTGGTGAGTTTAGGGTGGACACATGCATGTTCTGGTCCTACGACATCGACATGCATGTTCTTGCAAAGTCATAATTCTAAAGGTGTTGACTCTCTATATATGGGTATTTGAAAACACTAAACATTTCCTACTTTTGCATTTTGTAATACAATCATATGCTCTATAGTATAAAATACCATATTTGAAGTGTTTTATCTCTTGATGTACATAAATGTCATGTACATAGGTGTCATGTAGATATAGCCAACCGAGTGGCCAGTTCTAGGAATTTCAGACTTTTCAGTTGACGATCAAAAGAAGAGCTAACTTTGTTGTACACAATCTCTGTGTTTTAAGGTCTAGGAGACGTAGCTTTGGAGAAGATAGAGCTGGTGGTGATAGTGCTTGAATCTTTCAGTGTAGGTTACACGTGTTACTCTTTAACAAACACAGATATAAAGCGTGAAATCAGCAGCAAGTGCAGTCCTACATTCCAAATGCATTCAATACCAAGAAAAGTAAAATATAGGCAACTTGTGACAAGAGCGGCTTTAGAAAACCAGCTTGATCAATAACTTCTACGCAAATTCATTGCAACTTCGCGAATAGTGGCTCAATGGCCTATACTGCTTTCTGGCATACTCTTCTTAACAACCCTGAGAACAAATGTTATCTAAATTCAGACATTGGATCAAGCAACTTGTTTGTTGCTTTACTTCATTTATAGGCCTTCATTGATGAATTGTCTAAAGCTTACAATTATTCCATGTGAATAAGGTTTTTGGCTTCCTGTATGTCTCATCCATCAACACCTTCACTCTTTCTCCCCCATATAACCTTACAGATTACTCATATTATTGTATTAACACAATCTATCACCAGGATATGAGATTGACAAAAGATGAGATGATACGGAGATGCAGAGTGGCTCTTCAAGATGTCAGCTTGGATAAAAATCGCTATACCGATGTCCTTCCATGTATGTTTCATCACATTTTATTTCTTGATTGATAAGCGATCAAACAACTGAGAAAGCAATTGTCATTATTTAGATTACATATGGAGTTCTTAAAAATATCATTTGTCCTATAATCAACTTAATACCCGTTTTCCCTCTTCTTTCAGTTGACAATACGAGGGTTGCTCTCAATTCAAGTAAGGGCAACAAGAATATGCGAAATGAATATATCAATGCAAGCTTTATTACAGTAAGTCTTTTAGTTTTGTCAATATACACAATTTGCTGTGTTTGTGCTATATTTGAAGTGCATGGTGTGATGAATAACTATAGTTCATTTGGCAACACTTTACAAATGGTTTTGTTGTAGACTGCTTCCAGTGGAAATGTTTCTCGGTTTATTGCTACCCAAGGCCCACTTCCAGAGACCTTTGAGGATTTCTGGATGATGGTAATTGAGTATCATTGTCCTGTTATCGTGATGCTTACTGTGGTGGACAAGCCCAAGGTACTCATGTATTATCCTTTCCAAAAGGATTTTTTTTTCATGTAGCACTATATTTATTCGTGTGACGTGATATAAATGATGGACTATTCAGTTGCTCAATACTAAATTTCTTTCTTAAGTCAATGATAATGAACTCTGCCGATCAGTTATAGATCTCCATAAAATAGTGCCCAGTGCTTAATTACTTTTATCATTTTAATATTTAGGTCACAGTTTTTGGATAGCTATTGATGTATGGATTTTCCATGCAAAAAGAATTACTTTTTGCAGTACATCAGGGTGCTTGGTTTGCCCTAGCTTTAATCTCCAGATCTTGATATAAAAGCATAAACCGGACTTGCAAATTTGAGGCATGAATCACCCTTACGTCAAGTCATTGTGTGTGCATGCGTGCAAGCATTTTTGCTCGCGGGCGTGCGGTGAGGAGGGGGGGGGGGATCTCATTTAACAAAATGAGCTACCAAAATAGATAAAGTCCTCATTTAATGAGGCGGTAAACCCTATTAATGAAATTTTCACATTATCTTGCATTCATCTACTGATTTTTATATTTGATAACTAATGCTGAGCTATGTTTCTTCATTTATGGAAAGCTTTTGTGTTGTTTTCCTCCAAAAAATGTAACTCTATTCTTAGGCTTTTTCATCTTTTCTCCAGAATATGTCGTTTTATGATGCATTGGAAGAGTTGAACAAGAAACCCCAATTAGATACTTTTGATTTTTCTGGTAACTCTATTATTGAGGAATCATGTTGTGCGCTTTATCTATGTTTTTAAGTTAGATTAGATTAGTATGCATTATCGCCCTGCAACCTAACTACTGACATTTTGGGTAAAGTGGTTTCCTGACACCTTATTATAAGGGTAGAATCCTTCAAATTGATATTTTGGTGTTTCCCATTTTCTGTCATGTTATACATTAAATTAACGACACCTGCACACTCCGCCCAAGTTTTGATTGGTTATGTTCATCGCCATGCCTGTTAATATTCTGTAATTCTGCTGAAATTTTCTGTTTCATGGTATAATATCGTCTTAATGTACACTGCAGATGATGAAGAAATGTGCCGATTATTTTCAAGGAGAAAATGGGTATAGGGAATTTGGAAATATAAGCGTCTCTACCAAGTGCACAAAAATTAGTGGCTCTTCATTAGTGCAGCGTTTCTTGGAGGTCAAGAACAAAGAGGTATCGACTTTCATATATAATTTCCTATTGTCATAATGCGTGCTCATGCATGCAAGTAACCATATTCTGAAAGAAGGGTTTATATGTTTTCTGGGAAAGAAAATTGTATTTCACCAGGATGTTCTTTCTTATTTGAAGTCCTATTTGCAGTGTGCTTTTTCTTTAAACACTTTTGGTCAGCTTTGGAGTCTGTCATAAAAAAACATGACACTTTTGGCATCTTTGAAATGAAAGTATGTCATTAGTATAAACACACTGAGATTTTGGTACTCTGGAATTTATCATACGTATCTTGCCACTTAAATTTGACATTCATTGATGTCTTGGTAGTCAGGGGACCCTCCTTTACCTGTTCTGCATATTCAGTACCCTGAATGGCCTGATCATGGAGTTCCTGAAGACACTATAGCTGTCAGGGAAATTCTGAAAAAGTTGTATCACGTTCCACCTGATCTTGGCCCTATAGTAGTTCACTGCAGGTTTTTGAGAATAACAAATTAAGTTGATTTAACTATACCTTCTTATTATGGTCCACAACATCTGAAGTATCTATTTCCTCTTTCTCAGTGCAGGCATTGGAAGAACCGGCACATATTGTGCAATCCATAATACAGTACAGAGGATACTTGCTGGTGACATGTCGTCTTTAGATCTTCCTAAAACAATAGCTGATTTTAGATCTCAAAGAATGGGAATGGTTCAGACAGTGGTATTCATCTTGTTGCTTTTAGATGTTTATTACACCCTTTTAATCCTTGTTTTGGTTCAGCTTCCTCTGTAATTATTAGCACTTGTGTATGTTTTGAATTCTTGAGCAGCTTGTTGCATATGCATCATGTTGAACGTTAACTATTTTAACTGCGTCTGTTGTCGTTTTCAGGAGCAATTCATCTTTTGTTATGCTGCAATTGTGGATGAACTGGAAGACCTCATCTCAAAGTACAAATACTAAGATGAGCTATAACAGGTATCTGTTAGTTATGTGCACAAATGAAAAGCAATTGCAACAGTGAATGAAATGATACCTCCGCCCATGAAATGAGTATTTTGTGCCTAGAGAGCATAAAAGGGGGAATATATTTGTCTGTGGAAACCCATAAATCTTGATTGTATATATGCTTGTAGTTGTTTCGATTATGCTTTGTGGTGGTTCTCAACGTCAGTATGTTCTCTACTGACCATTTTCCCTTCCGACTTTTTGATTAGAGCAGAAGCTGTGAAGCCTGGAAGTTGGTCGCTCATAGGCAGATGCTTGTTCGATATTGTAGATTTCAGAATTTAACTATGCATTTCAATAATCCAGGGGTCACGCAAGAAGCTTAGCCTCCTTTTGATATCAGAGGAATTTGTTTCACTAATTTTTCCCCATTCTTAAGTCCGTTTATGTTGAAAAGTTAAAAATTGACGGCCCAGCATATTGATTTTTTGACTAGCGTACCATTTTATCCATCATGTATTTTTCTGATGCAATGGGATGTAAAGTATTATTTAGGCATAAAGGATTGTTGTTGCCAACAGTACTTTTTATCCCACAATTTGTTGTATTCTCAGACGTTGTAATCTCTTTATGATGTTTGAGATTATTGTTTTCTTTTTGTTGGGATAATGTGGAACCTTTGTGTGGAAGGAGGATCTCCAGGGAATAACACCCCAGGCTCCAGGAATACCCAAAAAAAAAAAAAAAAAAAGAAGGGGGGTGTGGGGGGGTGTAAACCACGTGGTAAGTGGGGCCTACCTACCCTGTACCCACCCACTACCAATTAATATCGGACGCTTTAAACCCCCGTGGTAAGTGGGGTTTGAGAGCGGTATTACCATTGGCCATTGCATGCTAGGCCGCGAGGCCATACGTGGCGGGTTTATTGCTTTATTATAGCCGACAGGATTTGATACTCTATGTTTTGCTGAAATTCTAGATGCATGATGAAATTGTGTTGGCTTTTGTCCGAATTTTCTGTTCTTGTTGTTGATGGCTTTTGTGGATATTATTTTTCGGTTTTTCTATAGAGTGCCCATGAGCATTCTATAAGAGAGGAAATACATAAAGAGAAATGAATAATAGCTTATGAGCTATTCTGATTTGTATTAATTTCTGTATATAATTTATTTCTCTCTCTTTCTTTTCTTATAGAGTGTTCATGAACACTCTATAAAAAAAACCGATTATTTTTAATTTATTTTTTATTGTTGTTGTTGGCGCATAGTCTTGTATACTCTAAAG